GGAGTTGCTCCTCCATTGAAACTCGTAAGGATGACTTCTGTTGGAATCATGTCACCCTCCGTCTTTGCAAATTTCGTCATCATCCTAGATGGAATGGTGTTTATAGCTGTTCCATTGTCGACAAACACTTCTACTACAGGGATGCCGTTAACTAGAGCTTTAACGTACAATGGCCTCAAGTGTTTAGTCAATTTCATGACTGGCCGTTTAAAAATAACCTTTTCGGCAGCCTCTATTTCTACTTCCTGCTTGTTTTCTGTCGAATTATCCCCCTGTGATAAGTCGACGTGCAGCATATCGTGCTGAGCCTCTGTCTCCTGAATTTCCTCCTTACTGTTTTCTAATGCTTCCTCATCCGTTACCCAACCTATAGGAGGGGACATTATTCTTGGAAGTGATCCATACTTTTCAGAGCGAGACACTCTCTTCTTCCTTTTGGGCATCCCGTACAGTACGTAGAAATCGAAAGGACGCCCAGATGGTTCTCCCAACAAGTCGACTTCGCGAACCCTCTCTCGATGTAGTTGCTTCAACAGAGTATTATGCGATACTCCTTTCCTTCTTCTTTCTGCTTCTAGGTTGATTTCTTCTTCGATGTCTGTCATCCCGTCGTCTTCTTCATCATTGTAGGCCTCTCTAGAAGTCTGACATTCTTCACATTCCAGCACGCAAGCCTCTCTTTCGTTGTCCTCCCTTTCTGCTTCTTCTTTTTCTTTATTCTTGAATTCATTGGCCAATAAATAATTATTAGCCACGACAGGAGGTAACGTACCGAACTGGATAGTAAGGGGCTGATCTAGATCTTCTCTATCCCTTCTGTCTCGCTCAAACTTTGATCTCCCAGAATAAGTTTTTAGCAGTTCTTTCATTTATTCATCTGTACCAGTCTCTTCACTATCTTTGAGAACATTTTGATTAGCTACCTTGAGTAGTTTAGGCGCTTTAGGATGTGACACTCCCTGTTGCTGTCTCATCATTCATCTATAGTTTCGTTGGAAACGCCTTTGTTGAGTTCTAGTCATCTCATCGAAGGGTATTACCCTTCCTGCATTATACTGGAACGAATGCCATATATTTGGCGGCGAGGTTACGGCCTAAATGTTCTCCCATTATCTACTGGCCTGAACTGCCTCTCAAAAGGTGGTCCTCTATAGAATGATGTACTTCGCCCTCTACCAGGTTGAGTGTTTGGGAAGAAAGTAGGGCGATGGGGATGCTGCCATATCCTTGATTTCTCTGTATTCCGACTTACTTCTCTTTTACATCTTGCACACAAGATGTCTTCGTCCTTTTTTGGCTCTTTCCCCTTGATTCGTTCAAAAACACTGAGATGTGGTCCAGGGTCCTCTTCTCCATCATCTATGACCAACTTGAATTTTGGCAACTTGTTTTTGAAACTAGACGTCACCATGTTCACTCCAAGTGGCTGTGGAAAAAGATTTTCATCCACTGCCATCTTCTTCTTATCGTCGAACGTAATTCGTCCTGATTCAATGACATCCTGCAATACATAGCGAAAAATCAAGCAATTGTTAGTCAAATGTGACCATGCATTATGCCACTTACAATATTTTTTACCCTTAATTTGTTTAGGGTTTGGCAATTTATGCTTATCGCTCAACTTTATCTGCTTATCCCTATATAATTTATCAAATATAAGGTCAACTTTGGTTACATCGAACGAGAACGTTCTAACCTTTATGTTTCCATCTTTCATGTGCTCATCTTTGCCCGATGGTCTAGGCTTAGCCATTATAGGACAAATATACGTGTCTCCCTTGACCAATTCGGCCAAACACATTTCGGCTTGATCGTATGACTCATCGCTAATGGTATGAACGTCAAAATTTGGGTCTTTGTAATAAGTCCCTTTACTAGAATTTTTCATCTGCTCTTCTTCTTTTATCAGTCGTTCATACCTAATCACATTCGCACTCAATTGGAAAAGGTCAGGAAATTCCTTGTCTTGAAATTTCTTTTTTAAATCAAAACTCAAACAGCCCTGAGCGATTTTGAAAATTTCTTTTTCGGGCAGATGTACAAAACACTTGCTTCTTGCTGTCTTGAACTTTTGGAGAAAACTTTCTGCCCATTCGTTTGGCATTTGACATAGATTCGTCAAATCAGCCAAAGTGACTTCAGACTCAGTTTTATAAAATTGAGCGTGGAATAATTGTTCCAATTGTTGCCATGTTTGAACAGAGTTCGCTGGCAAGTTGATGAACCAGGAGAAAGCTACTCCTATTAATGAACTAGGGAAAAACCTCATTTTATGGTAATCAGTTACATCACCACTTTGCAATGTGAATCGCCCTATGTGTTCTAAAGTAGACACCTCTCCTAAACCGGTAAACAGTGAGAATTCTGGCACTTTATACCCTCTAGGCCATGGATATGCTTGGTCTACCCAATCAGGATATGGCTTTGTGTAAGTCGGCCTAATGACAGGACGCACCCCAAAAGCCATCAGATCCTGTACGATTTCCATAATCTAATTCCTCAACATGACGTTGGGATCATATGAAATTCCTATAGGTTGGTTAACCGGTTGATTTGCATGAGGCCTGATGTTTGGTCCTTGATTGGCAACAAAGTTACCATGATTAGGGCCATTACCATTAACCTGAACATCTATTTCCTCATTAACACGTGGGGTATTCTGTCCATTATTTAGGACATTATCTCTTACATTTGGATTACCCCCCAAGTTAGGCATACCACTACCATTGTTCTGATTTGACACTGCACCACCCCCTTGATTTGAAGTAGAGGGACCAGAAAGTGGTTCTATCCCTTAATTCGGATTTAGGACTGAGGGAATACGTCTCACAATTGTCCTAGTTTGAAAGTGATTTGCAAGAGACATAACCGGTTGACATATTTGGCCTACTAACTTATTCATGATTTCGTTCAAAGTGTTTAGTTGTTTGGCCATGTTGTCATAATGTGCATTCCCATTTTGGGTAAATCTTTCCATATTATGAATACTTCGAAGATTTACCTGTTTAACGACATCTTGTGTGAGTTCTCCAAGTAGTGCACGCATGGTTCGAGGACTCAACTCTGTCATTGGTTCGTAATGACTGTTACTGCTCTGATTCTGTCCATCTGTTCGTGGAGAGGCATGCTGCTCCTCATATCGCTCGATCACAGACTAGACTCCTCCCTGACTTGCTGCTTCTTTATCGGATCTCTGAGGCATATTATTTCACTTTTTGTATTTTCAACACCAAACACCACTGTCCCACTGGGCGTGCCAAATTGTTTCGCGCGGGTTCGTCGCTAACAATTAAAAAGGGATCAGACGATTGTGTAAGGGACAAACCTTTTGAGACAAAGTCCCAAAAATGGGTGTTCTTTATTGGCGATGTCTTTACAATCGGAAGGTAAAAATAGAATGCCTCCAAGGGGCGAAAGCACTCGAGTTATTGAAAGAAGTGTTTAAATCTAAACTAAGAAATTTAAAATTACATGTTTTCTGTTCGAGAGTTTTTTGATTCGGGATCCTTTGCTCTATGTCTTTTCTTCCTTTTATACTCCCTGGATGATCTCTTTGTGATCAACCGCCTAAAAACTGTTTGATCGTTCTATAACTGCCCACTTTCCTCGTAATGGCCAACTTGTCATGGAACTGCATTTTTTAACTGCTGCCATTACTCTTTGTCGTTCAACCGTTTTCAATTGAATTCCTTGAATCGTGGAACGTGATAGGGCTGCTTAATAACTGCTTTGATAACTGCACTTCTTGATAACCATAACACTTCATGTTTGCTAAGACCTTGGGCAACTCGAAGGTTTGGGCGAAAATAGAGTAGCAGCTCTGGACGACTGCATGGCATTCCATTCGCTCAGATCCTGGGTGACTTGCAAGCTTGGGCGATGGTGTTACCGCATTCACGGGCCTCTCTATTTGGGCCTTCATCCTAAATTGTCTGATTGGGCTTCATTCTTTGGACTATCTGATTTGGGGATCCTCCAATTGGGCTTCATTCCTTGGACCGTTCAATTTGGACTGAATTTTTATGTGTCAACAATTTGTAATTAACGAATACATCCTAAAGGAACTCTTAGTATGTTGAATGATTGTATGATGTACCTGACAGAAATACATTCTCAAGTTCTATAAACTCTTGACGCATTTAAGAGACGTCGAAAAATCCATCATTATAATATAGAGCAATAAGGTAGAGAAATGAGTTTCTTCATAATTGCATTGTAGTTACTCCTTTCTAAACATTCAATGGACAAGATACGATCTCTTAGTTATAAATTTATACGTGAAAATTATTAACTTCTAAGATTTGGGATTATGTGTGTTACAATTTGCATACTTAAGCAACTCCTAACACTCAAGTCCTATCTCATCATGTTTAATACATGTCTATGTGATTCTTAACTATTGTCTAGTAAATTGTCTTACACAATCCACCATAAAATACATTGATGAAGATATTCTATTTTTTGTGAATAACATGCATGTTTATGATTACTCAGGTTATTTTGCAAATGTCACCATAAATAACATTTATTTTTATATATAGCGTATGTTGAACAGCCAGAAATCGTAATATTTTCGAATAAGAGGCCACCAAGAGATTGTGTTCGTGTACTGCATTTTCCATATCCTTGATGTCTACTGAAATTTTCAATAAAAGTCCAATATTTCCAAATTCTACTTTCCTAGAGAGGAAAAAGTCAACTCAATTTCTCAAAAAATAAAACCATAGAATGCCGAAATGTTGAAAAGAAAGCACATAAATCAGAAATTGGATCGAAAAATCATTGGATAGCAATTAAACAAACACATAACTTGGAAGCAATAATTTCTTAAACCTCAATTCATACATAACCTGGAAGCAATAATTTCTTAAACCTCAATTCAAACAGCAGACCAGTATAAACATTGTATGAATTTCGTCACAAAAAATTCTGGGAACATAAATTAAAGACATAAACACATGAATACTGCAGGTATGATGTATATGTTTTTATGTACGCACCTTGTATCTGTTTGGAGAGAGACACTCACTGGTTGGAATACAGAAAGAGAAAGAAGTGTTCAAACTTTTAAAATGTGATTGAAGAATTTGGGCAGTGAGAGGGAAGCTAATGGCGGGAAGACGAAAGTGAAATTTTTGAGGGGGAGAGAGAGAAATAAAAGTTTTATGTGCTTTGTTATGTCCAACGGCACTTGAATCTGGAAGCACGCACAGTTCCATACGTCCCCTCACGTGGATGACTCGTAAATACAATAAAATATTGAAGCTTCTCGGAGCATAACTTAGTGATGCAAAGAATAGGAGTGAGGTTATCTCAAACTTTGCTGGTAGCTGCAGTGTGAATGTTCGATTCCTGAGACATGAAATTGAACTCTTTGTAGGCGCAGTATACAAACAACTTTTGCTCCCTGACCTGTTGGGGCACATCTCGCTATTTATCTCCCTCACAAAACTTAGGGGCGGAGCATTGGGGACCCTCAAAGTTGGAGTTGAACCTTTTTTTTTTTTTTTTTTTAAACATTGAGCTTTCCCAAGGTACGTAATTCATTGCATAAAGATGTACCCCCTTCACATGGTGGGGTCTGCTTGAATAAAAAATTCAAGTGGGCTCCACCCCCATGTGAAAGGATGGATGCCATTATGTCAACCAAATTATGTACCACTAGCAAATTTCTAAAATATTCGTAGGCCTCCTTCATGTGGGGGTGTAATTCATTGTGTACACATGGCACTTCTGTACCCTAATATGTGACTTGAGGATAGGAATGTCAACGAGTTGAGTTGAGCCAGCTCGCGAGCCAAAACTTGAGACTCGGGCTCGGTTCAAGTAAAGTGAGCGGGCTTTTTTTTGAGCCCGAACCTGGCAGAGAAAAAGCTCGATCAAAAAAATTTTGCTCGACCTGTAAGGCTCACTTTTTTAACCTCTTTCTTTTTTTAATATAAGGATAATTGGCACAAAACGTCCTTACCTTTCAAGTCTATTGTGGAAAACGTCCCTACCTTTCATTTTTTGACATTTTTGCCTCATTTCAACCTTTCTTTGCGCTGGACGTCCTTCCGTCCATATTCCGTCAGTTTTTCCGTTAATTAAAGGGTAATTGGCACAAAACGTCCCTACCTTTCAAGTCTATTGTGAAAAACGTCCCTACCTTTCATTTTTTGGCATTTTTGCCCTCATTTCAACTTTTCTTTGCGTTGGACATCCTTCCGTCCATATTCCGTCAGTTTTTCCGTTAATTAAATACAAAAATACCTTTTTCTTTCCATAAACAAGGGTAAAATTGTCCTCACCCACTTCACTCCTTTTTCCCGCCATCAACTTAGTCCATAAGTAACAGTAGCAGCAACATGAATCTGAAAATACTTTAAATAATTAAATTAAATAAAGAAAAAATATCGTGAACACATTATATTTCACAATTCCACAACTACTGTTACTGTCATCTTGTGTCACTGGAAAATTTTAGAAAGACATTAAATGGATAGTCAATTTATAATGAGCCAAAATGGTGAATGGCTCTTTTTGGCTCAATGGAGAAGATGAATGGCTCATTTTAAATTGACTCATTATAAATTGACTACCCATTTAATATGTCTTTCTAAATTTTTCCAGTGACACAAGATGACAGCAACAGTAATTGTGGAATTGTGAAATATAATGTGTTCACGATATTTTTTCTTTATTTAACTTAATCATTTAAAGTATTTTTAGATTCATGTTGCTGCTACTGTTACTTATGGACTAAGTTGATGGCGGGAAAAAGGGGTGAAGTGGGTGAGGACAATTTTACCCTTGTTTATGGAAAGAAAAAGGTATTTTTGTATTTAATTAACGAAAAAACTGACGGAATATGGACGGAAGGATGTCCAGCGCAAAGAAAGGTTGAAATGAGGGCAAAAATGTCAAAAAATGAAAGGTAGGGACGTTTTCCACAATAGACTTGAAAGGTAGGGACGTTTTGTGCCAATTACCCTTTAATTAACGGAAAGACTGACGAAATATGGACGGTAGGACATCCAGCGCAAAGAAAGGTTGAAATGAGGGCAAAAATGCCAAAAAATGAAAGGTAGGGACGTTTTCCACAATAAACTTGAAAGGTAGGGACGTTTTGTGTCAATTACCCTTAATATAATTATTAATGGCTGCCTTTTAAAGCAGCCACAACCAGCTGCCTTAAAAGGTAGCCAGCTGCGACTGCCTCTTAAGGGAACAAAAGGCAGTCGGCTGTGCTGCCTTAAAAGGTAGCCAGCTGCGACCACGTCTTAAAGTAGCATTTTGCTCCCTAATTTCTTTTTTCCCCTTCTCAAACTCGCGGGCTGCCCGTAGCTCGCCGAATTGCCGTATCTACTTGAGGATTAGCAAGGATGTAAAGTTGGATTAATGTTTTGGGCAAAGCTCGGGCTGCCCGTAGCTCGCCGAATTGCCTTATCTACTTGAGGATTAGCAAGGATGTAAAGTTGGATTAATGTTTTGGGCTAAGGCCTAATTTAATCATTTTCCCTATCAATTGGCTTGTTCGAGAAAAGTTCAGCCCAAAACTGGCCAATGTCCAACTCAAGTTGGATCAGGCCACGTGCTAGCTATTGGTCAATAACGATAGCTAAGGTCATCAAGTATATAAATAAAATAACATTGCACTTAAAGTAGGTTCATTGATAATTTTGTATCAAAGCATTAGTCGTTGATCATGGAGACTGATGCTATCAAAAATTCTACCTGTCAAATTTTGAGTTTAACGATTGTGGATGAACACGAGCGAGATCTTTCGGTACCCGAAACAAAGGCGTTGAAATGTGTCCTCATCGTCCATTCAATACTTAAGTCAGAGGGAGAATTTGTGGGGGAGGCTATATACTAAAAATAATGTGAAAATGTAGTTGAATAATGATCTAATACTTTGCATTTATAGAGGTAGGTAGTACATTCCTAGTAAAATTAAGTAGTGCACTCCTTATCTGATTAAAGAGTTGTAAAGTTGAAGTCTTTTCACACCTAGGAGTTGTAATTTGATTAATATTATACCATTAATATGTCTGGATAAGGATAGAATTCTTGTGACAGAGTCCTATGAGGAATGGACAAAACTATTATAGCAAGACTCAACATCCTTAGGAATGGATTGACCTTATCTCGTGTGAGGAGTCTTAATGGACTAAGGGTGTGTTTGATTGCAAACATGAAATTTGCATGTAAATAAAATAAATTCTATGCAATCCAATTGCCTAAAGAACTTATTTGTATGAAAATTATTAATTAAATATATTTGATTGATTTAGTTTTCTGCATAGAAAATATTATATTTGTTCATTTTTTATTGATGGATAGATGAGAGAGAGAGAAAGAAAGTGAATTTCCTGGAAAATAAAATCATATTCCTCTTAAAGAAAATATTTTTCTTGATTTGGAAAATATGAAGTATGGTCACGTGACCAAAAATATGAAAATATTTTTTATGGGAAAATGTCAATTAAACAGTACAAAAGTAAGAATTTGAATAGAAAAATACAATTTCTATGGAAAATATTGGCCATCAAATGCACCCTAAGTGTTGCTAGGAACGAGATCAGGGCATAACTTCGAGGACAAAGCTCACGCCCAATGATGCCCATGTGATGAGAGGTTTTGTTCCCGCAGTGATTCTTACTCTAGGAGTCACGCCTGAAGTACATGGATGAAAATCGTGGATGGCATTATTGGTCCTTGGGCGGGGCTGATTGGGTCGGGACATAATATGGCAATATCAACGACAAATCAAAACTTGAAAGATCGAGTATCTATGTTAGAGAACTTTGTGGGTGCTCCAATGACTGATAATGTTGTAAACTTGGTTGTGCAAGACCACAAAAAAGATAGGCGCATACAAAATTGAGAGCATTGTTTGTTGAGTTCGTTGTTAACACAAACAAAAGATATAATAATGTGATGAATGAATTCTAGGTTTTGACTCAAGAAGTCAAGTTCCAACATGTTAGTGTTGAGAGTTAGGCCTTGGTTACACTATTCATTGATCTCTTGTTTGATGATCATTATTTGGAAATAACAATGTTATAACTAATGACTTTTAGGAGAATGTATGGCCAAAAAGTAAGTAAAAATTTGGGTTTACATGCAAAATATTTTATTATGTGAATTTATAGTTGAAAATGAGTATGTAAAAAAAAAGTTTTTAAAATAATGGTTGTCAAAAAAAGGCTGAAATTGAGGGAAAACTTTCATTATTTAAAAGCACCATTCATTGTTTTGTTCCAAATGAAATTGGTATATTTGAGCCTAAATAGCTTGATAGTTCCTATAACGTGAAGGAAATTGAAACTTCTTGTGGGATATAGCCCATGTTTGAGCTCCATTATAATAGATTTTGGAAAAAAAAAAAAGAAAAAAAAGGTGTTTTATAATCCTAATTTTTTGAAAAGGAGTGATTAAAAAAGAAGGAATTTTTTTTTGGTTTACATATGATATTATTTTATTAGTGAATGCATGATTGAAAATAAAAGAAAAATACATTTTAATTAATGGAAACCAAACGGGGGACATATAGTTTTACTTTAAAGTTGTCCATTTCCCATCGGGGCAGCAAGTGAATATTGCAAACAAGTATTTTGATCATATGAAATTTCGCAAGTGCATAGTGTTGTAAACAAGTAATCAAGTGATGAGTAGAGTATCGTTCCCTAGAAGACTATATTTTTAATCTAGAATCAATTAATATTAACGTTAAACAAATAGTTGTGTTTGTATAAAGAAACTACATTAATTAACTATTTGAACTAAGTATTCTAATGAGCAAATTATGAAAGCTTTTGTCAAATTAGGCTGAAATAAGTACTAAGACTTCAACTCCCCCTTATTAATCCCAGTTAATACAAATCAATATCATAAAAATACGTATTTATTTTTGTTGATCAACGTTCCTAAATTATTTAATAATCTCTCTCGAATATAAGTAAATAATCCTCTTATGTGATATTTCTATATTTTTATGAAATATGCGAACATAAAAGCAGGCTTCGAAACCCTAGAACATTTATTGAAATAAAGCAAAGCCTAGGAGGTATATCTCAATTCTCTATTGAAACTCACAACAATTACAATAACATTTTTTTTCTATCTTATTGCTTCTCTCGAATTTAATAAAATTCACACATTAATCGAATTATTGATCAAGTAATTGAAA